TTTTTTAGATATTCACAGGTACAACGGTACAGATGTGATGTACGGGTAGTTATTGTGTCTGATGGCTGCTTGTCTGAGAATTTGTGTGTGGTGTAACTCCTCGGGAATTATTGTGTCTGTAATGTGAGGCACTCAGAGTTCATCGTTAGAAGTTATGCAAGAGGTGTAGAGGACGTAGATACGGCGTATAGACGGCTGAAAAGTATTTCTCAACTCGGGAAACATATGGTCTAGGTTTAACCACAAGTTTTTGCTAATGGTCTTAGAATCAGGGCCCGGGAGAAGAAAATTACGGGCCCCTATTTCACGCAGGTATTACCCCCAACTAGGAGCGGCAGATTTAGCAGATTTTGTAAAATTCACGTATAAATATTATCGAGCACCAAGATCCGCTTTAGACCGCATTAGGCAGTTTTCTCTTATTGTTTGATTTATTCTTAGCGCTTTTGACTATACTAATGTTTATCGTACTTTAATTTTATAAAACATTTTCAAATTTTTAAAATGAATTTTAAATTTTAAAATAAATTTTAAATACCATAAACATTTATTTGATTATTTAATATTTTCTGAATTTTGCAATCAATTTTCAGAAACAAATATTTCATCAATCAAGTAAAGTTGATTGATATTAGAAAAATGTATTAATCCGTATAACAAGGATACATACAAACTAATTGAACTAATTTCCTATAAAAAAACCCATAACAAGAAGTGTTACAATGGTATACAGCCATATGTTCAAGAAAAGGGAAATGGATCGAATACAACGATCTAGACAAGAGAGAAAGAAGTATTAAAGAGAATGCAATAATGACTACGTTTACACGCACTGGTAAAACCGTTTTAATAAAAACCGTTTTAGTTAAAACCGGTGTTAGATGTCCTGTAAATGTCTGTTAATACAGATGTTATTAAAACCGTTTTAGTAAATCCAAACCTCTTCTGAAACAGGTTTGGCATTACTAAACCGTTTTACAAAAGTCGTGTAAACGGTCTTCAATCGGTTTAACGTATCAAAATTCGATGTTACCAACTTTAGATGTTAAGGTTAAGAAATGACAAAGGATATTTCGTCTTAGGTTCCATATTAAATTATATAAAGCTACTTTATTTTTGGCGGAGGTAAAATACGCCTGATCGTGTAAACAGGCACCAACACCGATTTTAATTAAAACGGTTTTTACTAAAACATACTTAATATATATTTTCAATAACGATCTATTTTCTGTCATAATTATCCTCTTGTCAATGCGTGAGTAATTTTTATTTTTATTTTTTAGACAAATGTCTGAAGCAAGTCTTAAGGATAATGTCTATAAGATGTCATAAAGATAATTCTATAAAACGCCATAAGGGACAAGTCTGTAAGACGTCTTCAGGATAATGTCTTTAGGATGTCATAAATCGACGCATAAGACATTTTAAAGACGTTAAATTTATTTTTTAATTTTATCTTAAATTTAATTTATTGTTTATTAGACGCATACATTTAGTAGTGGCTGTTTACTTTGAAACTGAGCAATTATATCACAAAAATAGATTGATTTACATTCTTCTGATAGTTATCTTTTATGTAGTATCATCTATTGACTGGACTATGTCGCAAGGACGAAAGACGATACCGAGAAGATCCATAAGTCAAGGAATCAGGCGAGGACACTCACTGAGAATATTCAATTCTTCGTCGGTCTTCTGGTATATCATCGAGATTGTCTATACGGATAGTGCGGTCATTGCGCGATACCTCATCATGATATCTCATCGCGATATCTCTCGTTATATATACAAAATACGTGATATCATAATAAATTTATCTTTTTAAAAAAAGGTAAAAAAAGGCGCAAGTGTGCGTGCTCCTCTCAGAAAAAATCATTACATAAATTATTATATAGGCTTGTATGTGCGCTCCTTGAAGAAAAAAATGACTTCCTATTCCAAACCTATTTTCCAAACTATAAAAATATATATTTTTTTCAAAAAATATGTGAAATCTTTAAATTGCGCCGATTATAAACAGAAAATACATTTCATTGAAACACTAATGTTATACAACTACTTTTAAACAAAAATATATGAAAATAAGAGCATAATAAAAAAATTTTAATATAAAAAAACTTGGCGCTGCTAGACCAAGTCAAGTTTGCTAATATTATATTAAGAAGGAACACTCATTGTACTCGCCAAGTTTCATGGAAATCGATGAAGAACAGTTCAATGTTCCCTTTGTTAGTTCCTTATCTATATTTATTAGTAAGTTTTTAAGTAATTTTTAAATACTGAAATAAATTAATCAATGAAACCACTTTTTAGTATTAAAATCCTGTCTAATTTATTCTAACATTATTTTTAATGTATCAAAAGATACTGGTACAATTATATCAACTCTGACAAGCCGCTAGTTAGATTATGTTTTAGTTGAATTATGCTACGACATACTGTCAACATAAGCCTAATTATCTTTTATTTTATAATCATAATTTTATTTACTGTTATTCCTACTCTTAAAAGTATATAGCAAAATTATTTTGTCAAGGATATAGCTATTCTGCTATTTGTCAATATTTCAAACTTAATTTAATGAAAATTCAAGGCACACATGGATATATTTCTGTATTTTATTCATACAAGTGAATCGATTTCATTTGATTATTTTAACTGTATAAAATGAAAAAAGTATTTTCTCTCCTAACATTTTTCCATAATGTAATCTCACTTGTACTGTATCAAATAACTAAAAATATAGGACCATTGCTATCCAATAAAAATTTTAATCCTATTCCAAATTTCAGCTTCAGAGTACCTTTTTTCTATTTATAGTCGAAATCTTGATGTGTGTGTAACGATATTTTCATAATCTAATAATTAATATTTTTATTTTGGAGATTTTTTTCAAATCATGACATTGCAATACAATTTATATTCGTAAAATTCCTATGCAGTTTGTTACGTAGTTGATATTCACTTACAATATGAATTTGCAATGACATAATGATAGTGCATATATTGATAGAGATCACAGATTAAAGCCATTGTCTGCGTTATTTTGAAGACACAAAAAAGACTGTATACAAAAAACGAAATATATGAATATTATACACTAAGCTGGTAACAAATCAAAATCATCTGAAACATGCACCATAGGAACATGAACATCTTCTATCTGAGGTGTCGTTTTGGATTCACAAAGTCCTACTTCTTTTAATTTCCATTCCCAATGCATTCGTTGAACGGCATGCAAAGACTCTGCCTCATTATGATGTCTCAACAGCATACCTTCCTAAAATTAACCATTAGATGTAATAAAAATA